ACAAGCAGCTCCCCGTCATAAAGGCTTAGCTCAAAGTTTAGGTTCATGAGAGTCATGGAGGAGCTCTTTTAAAGTGCAGACCCTGAGGCCCATGCCCACAGAGAATCCCGGTCACTGGAATGTGGCCAGAAATTTCTTGAGGTTGGATCATACTTTAGAAAGGACGGCAGAAATACACTCCAAGCCCTTCCAGCTTTCACAGTCTATGACTTCCAGAAAAATCTAGACTTTGGTGAAGAGACTGTGAGAACCCCCTGCTTTTGTTTTCCAGTAGGGAGCTTTTAAATTGCTATCATCTGGGGTTTTTTGAACAATGGTAAAATTCTTCTTAAAAAAGTCTTTACTTTTAATAATCAATATCATTACGAGTCCAAAGGCATCTGTCTCCCAAAACAGCACTCTCTGACCTTCGATCAGGCTCTCTATGGCGAGTTTCCCTGCCTGAACCCACTTGGCACTTTTTTGCTTGTCTATATTCCCTAACCCTCAAATCTTTTCTCCAGTCCACACTGGGACCCAAGTACTCTGACTTTAGTATTCTAAATGTCCCCCTGGTTGCTTACGTTGCCTTTCTGCCCTGATACAAATGTATTAAACATCACAAAAGGTGCTTAACCGAGTGGAACAAAATGGAATGTTGGTGCTTAGAGAGGGAGCTCCAAACAGACTGCAGCTTCTAGATCAGGAAATTAAAAACTTGAGAGGGAACCTGAGATAGAACTCTTTGGTACAGAACAGAAAAGAGTTTTCATGAAAATGCTGCAAACAATTACAGAGATGGCCAGGCCAGGGCCCTCTGGAATATAATTGACTCTGAGGTCACCTGCATGGCTCTTGTCCTCAACTTCTCTGCTAGGCCTGAGGACTGAGGAAACTGAAGAAAGTCAGTGACGGGCCCCCGCTAGTCCCTTTTAATATATTGTCCAGGCCCAGTCTTCTGTGTGCCTTCATGATGAGAATGGTACCAGCGAAGGCCACTGTGGTGCATACTTGCTGACTATCTTCTTTCCTCTTTCCAATAGTCCTTGGATTCCACTGGGAACCCCTGAGATTCCTGAGCAGTTGACGTGTTCTATGGAAGGTACACATAACCTATGCTAAACTGACAATTCTATTCAGTGATTAGTTCAGAGAAAATCGTGTGCCATAAGCCAGTCCAATCGAAGTACATCTTGACACTTCTACTAGAAATTCTGGGACATGGATTTTCTCTTTCGCTGTGAATGGTGTGGTGCACACATGTGAGGTCTATAGCTTACCCTTTGCCTGTGGATAAGGTCAGTATATGGAAGAAGACAGAGCTGAGAGAACTGTAGAGAAATGGAACTGGAGCCCTGTTCAAATTGTGCCTGCAGCCCACCCTACCACAGGACTTTTAAACTTGTTGGTATGAGAGCCAATGCATTCTGTTCATTGTTTAAGTCAATCGGAGTTAAGGTTTCTTTTACTTAACAATAAAATTGTCTAAACTGAGATATTTATAGATCACACTTTTTAGTTATTGAAACATTTTTTTCAGTTGATGACAGTTGAGCCTAAATCAACCTTGTGAGGTAGGGAAAGTGTAGTTGTCACTTTCATTTTATTCATTTAACTCCACGCCTTCTGACTCCCAATTCTGAGTCTTTCTCATAGCACAACCTTGCATCAGAATAACATTCATCCCAGTGAATTCCAGAAGAAGCACAAAGTTATATGACATTTTATTGCCTACATCACCCCCACATCTTCTTTTTTAATAAAACCCACATTTTCACTTTTCCTTTTCTATCCTCCCTTGCATCTAAAAGTGACCTTATGTTCCAGGTGTAGCCAATTAGACAAATGAAGTTCCTTAGGGAGATGCTTCAAGCCACTCCAGGGAAAGGGCTTTTATTTACTTTTTCTTTTTCTGCTGTCCCCACACATCCTATTTTTGAGTATGGCCATGATGCTTGGGGCTATGGCAGCCCTGTTGTGAGTAGCAAGAGGAAGTGAGTTTGCCAAGGATGATGAACAGAAAGAATGGGAGTCTGGTCCTTGATGACACCTGGAGCAGCTGAACCAATACCAACAGAACTCCTTCCTCCAGAATTCTGTTTATGTGAGAAAAGTAACTCCTATTTGTTTAAGCCACAGTGAGTCAAATTTTCCAATATTTACAGTCAAAACATTCATAACTCATATATTCTGGTGTCTGTCATGATGAGCCAGTTTTCCTCTGAAGGAAGGGGTCTGGCCAATGTGAGCGAATATTCCCTTCAAACAAGATGGATACATTCAAATCAAAGCGTGGGAAGCTGGGAATTTGACAGCTAATTTGGCCCCCTCATGGTGTTCTTATGTTTGTTCTGTCCTCCTGGGGGCCCTCAAACCTCCAACAGTCTCTGTGGTCAACACTGCATCCTTTCCTCTTTTCAAGGGAGCTCTTTGGTATGATCTTCTAATTACTAGACCAGCTACTCATCATTAGGACAAGTTAGTGAGAGTAACACTTTTTGCTCTTCTCTGAGACATGTGAATTTATGTATTCACAATCACTTTAAGAGCTCAAAGTGCTCTTTTCTCTCGTTAAAGCACCCAGTCTACTTCTGAGGTCCACAGAAAGCAGGCAGGCATTTAAGACTAAGGGAAATATACAGACTGGGGTGGGATAGGGAGACCTGATCCTTTGGAATAGAGCCTTCTATTATCTTAACTGGTTGTCTGTTAATGATGGCTACCTAACGTCATATTCTGTCTTTTATTGAGACAGACCCTTAGTTGACTGTTGGGGAAAGTGACGTAGAGATACTAAGCTGCAATTACTAGAGCCTTGAAGCAAGTGGGTAGGACCAAAAAGAGGTCACAAAGCCCATTTCCCAGTGGAGAGATGTCTCTGCTCTCCCACATCTTTTTTGTATGATTTTAAACTTATGTGACCGTACTCTTGATTACTGAACACCTACCTGTTATAAATAACCTGTCGGACAGAGGGCATCTTGGTTTTAATGAGGGAAAACAAGAGCTCCAGCAGAGCTCTTCTCACAGGGGAAAACCCATAGATACAACTTGCGGAGAGTCCACTAAGGCCTTTGGCAAGATTTCATGCTAGCCCTCTGTTGCTCAGTTGCAGGGGTATCTAGCGTGAGAAGGTCACAATGTCCATCTCCTATACCCGTATCTACAGAGGTTTTCCAATATAATCCATTCAGAGTCCTGGAAGCAATCACAAATGGACAGCAAATGAGTGCCCCGAGTGCACAGACACCAAAAGCCTGGTTTTATGTCAGAGGCAATTAAAATGCTTATCAGAGTGAAGGTTCTCTTCCTGCCTTTCTTTCCGACATTCATCCTTCTGGCAGACATAAGAATCCTTGTAATGTATAGGGATGGACAGAAACACTTTTGAGGAGGGTGTGGTGATGTTCTGAATCATTGACTAATCCATCCACACTGGGTTGTAGCACCTAAAGTCTGCCTCACTCTTGAACAGAAATATCATATACTTCTAACTCCTTCTCAGTGTCATTATTAAAAAATAAAATAAAAGTAAATAGTTCATTGTAAGAATAGATGTAGCTGCAGATGGTATAAGCAGGAATGGCCCATCTAATGCATACATTGCAGACCAGATTCATTTAATCATTCATACATCAAATATTTATTTAGTACATATTATGTGCCAGGTAGTATGTTTGGACTACAGGGAAAAAAAGAACAAAGACATAGCTTCTGACTTCAAGGATGTCTCGGCCTAATTGGGTTGACAGAAAGGTCAAGATAATTACAAGACCCTTTGACATCAAGATAATCCTAACTGGGAAAAATTAATGCATATTTTTTCCTCTGAGTATTCCCTTAGGCTTTAAATCTATCCCAATCAGCCTAGTTGTTTTTATTCTTTTCCTTTCCTTTTCTATCTCCTTGATTTCTTTCCTTAATGTCTCCCCATTGAGATCATAAGTCTAATTTTAGTTCCCAGTCATTCTTTAATATGGTTACTCGTCTAAGCAGTCTATGTTCGAGGTTTTTGTTCTCCTGTGATATGTCATACTTAATTAACTGTCATCTTCACTATTAATATTAACTGAGATATTAATTTGATGAATTTTAATTTCTCTTAATCATGGCATCATTTTGAGCCTTCATTGGATACCTTTTTAGAATGATACACAGTGCAGAGGAGAAATATTAATAGGATATTAAGGGTTTAAAAAAAACTCTTTAGTAATTGCATGTTTTCCTGGTAGGAATATCTGTTTCTTGAACAGGTGTAGGCACCCTGATTTCATTGTTAGCAAATGGATGTTTTACCTTGATCAACTCCTGACTCTGTTTTGCACTTTCAAATGAAAATACTTTCAAATTTAAGAAATGCTTCTCTCCGGCAGAATTCTCCAGGGTCTGCTGCATTATCTAACTGGTGATGGAGGCACCAAAAATATAAATTTGGTCTTTTCCTTTGGAAGCGGAGTCTGCGGAGAGCTGGTACCCAGGAGGAAAATGCTGAGTCCAAGGGCAACTGAGCCATCAGAAGTCTGATCTATCTGCAGACTGTTCCTGCTCTCTTTTCCTCTCATTCAGTTAAAAAAGAAAATTGTTTTTTTAAAAATTAATTCCTCTGCCCCTACATGCCTCCTGCACATCACCACCCCTATATACATTGAAACACTGATGAGGATGGCCACTGGACTTCTCCCACCCCACCCCCCGTATCTTTGCAACATGACTGGCACAGAGAGTAAGCCTGGTGCATTTCTAGGACAAGTCCCATCACTCAAGTCCAGTCACCTGGATGCTGGAGGCCTGGGGAGAGAATCATTCCCAGCTCCCTGGTTCTGACGTGGGCAAGTGATGCTGGAATAATGGTGCTCTCAGGACCTTCAGGTCCCTCATGAAAGGGAGAATGGCAGGAGCTGTCCTTCCCTCCCTAGACCCTGGATCATGGCAGGGAGCATTCTGACCCCAGATGCCAGGAGCTCACGGAAGACAAAGACAAGCACGGTCACGTGGGCAGCTTGCACTTGCGACCTACTCACCTCCAGGTACACCACCCAGGGCATCACCAAGGTGGCCACCAGCAGGTCTGCCACGGCCAGGCTCACCACCAGATAGTTGGTGGTGGTCTGCAGGGCCCGTTCCTTCAGCACGGCCACACACACCAGACCATTTCCAAAGATGATGGCCAGGATGAGCACGCAGTAGGAGAGGGCGTAGTAGGCATGTGGGCGGGCCCGGCTGGCCCCGGTGGAGTTCTCTGCCGCACACGTGGTGTTGATGTGGCCCCCCAGCTGGCTGAGAGGCGCCATAGCCCGGAGGGAGAGGAGGGACCCCGACACGTTTACTGAGAGGAGATAGAAAACAATGTCGGTCAAGTCAGACTCTTTGGAGCTTGGCTGCTTTGGGTACATTTTTTGATTCGATACATATTTTGGTGAGCACTTTCTATATGCTGGGCACTATTCTAAGCCCTGGATATACAGCAATGAAAAAAATAGAAAAAAATCCCTGCCCTCATGAAGCCTCCATTCCAGAGAAGACAGTAATAAACAAGATAAATCCAAGATGTGGTATGTTCGATGATGACATGTATTTTGGAGAACAAAAAAGTAGGGAAGGGGGTGAGGACAGGGTGAGGATGGTGTGTGTGTGAGTACTTAGGTAAGCAGGAAGCCCTCGTGGAGGTGGTGACAGTTGAGTCACGAACTGGAGGACCTGAGGAAGCCCACTGTGCTGATAGCCAAGCAGGAGGAATGGCAGGTACAAAGGCAGGGCGGCAGGGCGGCTGGCAGGTGGAAGGGACAGCAGGGAGACCAGTGGAAAGAGCTGGGTGAGGCAGGGGCAGAGTGGAAGGGTGTGAGGTTGAGAGGTCGTGCTGGGCCATTGAAAGAACCATGCTTGGACTCTGAGTGAGATGGGGAGCTGTTGCAGGATTAGAATCCCAGCTCTACCACTTCCAAACTCTGGGGTCTTGGGCATGTAACTTCACCTCTCTGAGCTTCAGTTTCCTCCTTTGTAAAATGGGGGAAATAATGGAACTCGTCCCACAGGGATTTTGTGAAGATTAAATGAGCTATTACATATGGAAGACGTTGACAGCCATGCCCGACACCTAGAAAGCTATGCAAGTCTTAGCTCTTTTTCTCTGATTGGTCTGTTTCTCTTAGCTTCCCAGCCCCTCTCCTTGTCTCCTCCCTCCCTGTCTCTCTTGCCCGCATTTGCCTTTCCCATGCCTCCCTTCACTTCCTTCAATCTCCCATTCTTTCTCTTGGGTCTTATGTAGCAGGACATGGTGGGTTTGGGAGACTGGGCTGTGGGAGAAAATCTCAAGAATAATGGGGTTTAGAGGCAGTACAGTGGTTTTTATATTTAGGGGAAATCCATGTACCGAATTTTATTTGAAACCTCCTAATTTTTTTTTTTGGCTGCACCATGTGGCTTGTGGGATCTTAGTTCCCCAACCAGGGATTGAACCCAGGCCATGGCAGTGAAAGTGCCGAATCCTAACCACTGGACCACCAGGGAATTCCTGAAACCTCCTAATTTTTAAAGACTCATTATTAATTTAAAAAATATTTAAGCCTTATGAAGTCTCCCATCCCCCCTTCACCCCAAAATCGCACATCCATGGCCAATGACCCATGCATCATCAGTTTTCAATCTCTGACCTAGTCCAATGCCCTCACTGTTCAAACAGGGAAATTGAGGCCCAGAGAGATGATTAACAACTTAAGTCACAGCTTCTTAGCGGCAGAACTGGCATGCAGGCCTTCCAACGCCCTCCTTTGACATCTGAAAGCCATAGAAATTGTCACATCACTAGCCCTCTGGGAAAAGCCAATCCTCCAACCGTGGGGACTTTGGACATAGCGTGGGAAAGGCAACAGAGCCCATTGGTTGCCCCCATGACACCAACCTGTTGGGGCCAGAAGAGACTCTGGGCTCTTAAAGCCAGGTTTGTGCATGTCTGTGGGGGACAAAAGTCATTGTGTCCTGAAGAAAAATATGGAAATGACTTTGTGCCAAGGGTAGCAGTGCATCAAAGCCACATGCTGGGGGGGAAGCACAAGGCTTATAGCCTATGGTAGGACCCTGAGACTTGGGTAAGAGTGACTCCTGCCCTGGGCGCTGTGCTTCCGAGGGCTCCACATTGGACCCCATCTGGTCGTATCCTTCCTAGAGGATGAGGTCATGCTCTCCCATGGCACCAAGGAGAAGATCCATCGGGTCCACACTCCCATTCTAGACCATACTCTTGGTACCAAGATCTCAGGATTCTCTGCCCAAACTGCTTGGAGCCTATTTCTTGGGCAGCACCAGCCTCATTTTGGATGTGTCACCCTGAAGGAAGACTGTGGCATGTATGTGTGGGACCCATGGGCTCCAGGGGTAGCTGTTTGGACGAGCTCAGATGAATAGCTTGGATGTAGCCCGAGGTGTGGAGAGAAGAGGACAGAGTCCCTGGGACGGGATGTCGGGTGGGGCAGCTTCTCCTGCCCTCTCACATTTTGTATGGAACTCTTAAGGCCCAGGGACCCTAAATTCAAATCTGGCCTTCCAGATTGTTAAGAAGGTGCCTTTATCAAGACAGGAGGAGTAAACATTTCATTCAATGGTGTTTGTTAATTATAACGAAAATATTTAGACATGGAGTATATGGGCCTCCATGGGAACTCTTGCTCTAGGCTGTGGCAGAGGTAGAGGCTGGCTTGGTGGCCAGGATTTGCTCTCAGTTCTGCTAACTGCTGCTCTCCTTTGATTAGGAGATTGGCTTAATCCTGGCTGTCATTTTGTATGCTATTTTGAATGTTTCAGCCTGGAATGTGAAAGTGTTAAAATGAACAAATAATTGTAAGGGGCGAGTGATTTGGAATGAATTCAGAGAATTGTTTAAAAAAAAATCGTTCTTTATCTTGGCACACTGTTTGCACTAAATATATTTTAAAGCATAATAATAATTTTTGATAATAATTATAATTTTCTCATTATTCAGAGAAGGGCAGCCACTACCCTGGAGATAGCACTGTTGCTGCCAATAGCTTCTGGAAAAACACAAAGCTTTCTGATTGTTCAAGGATATTTTCACCTTCGAGGCAGGCTCAGGCCCAGAACGCCTTTCCTTCTGCAACTGGGCCACGTTGGAAATCAATGGCCAGAAATCACTCTTTCCTAGGGTCTGTAGTTGGCTTATGATGTCTTAGCCTCATCTTCCCTGTCAGGTAGGAGGGAGGCATAAAGCCTTGGGATATTTGTTACCATCTTGCTGGACATTTTACTCTGCCGAGGTTTGACAGCTACTTAAAAATAGTACAGCTAAGTGTCAATGACTAAACTATATGAAAGGAAACCCTCAACTCTGAAAATCAATTCTGAGCCTGACGTTGTAATCACCACTGCATGAGTTTCTGATTTACTTATTTTTTGCATTGCACTGTCTCTGCTCTTAGATTCTTTAGAGCAGCAGGTGGGGGTAAGCCTTGGTTGCCCAGGCAGTTCCTGATGAGTTTGTGGGTGTGGGAGGTGAAAGCAGAAAATGAGTGAGATGCTAGATTACTCCCCACTTTTCAGCTTCATTGTTTCAACTTCCTCCCTCCTTAGATTAAAAAGAAATTTTTTTTAACCAGCATTGCTTATATAACACAGAACTGGGCTGGGTTTTCTCCTTTCTTTCTCCTTTTGATATGCTATCAGATAGTAAACTGGTCTCAGGTAGGAGAAGTGAAGAGCCTGGAGAATTCATTAACTTGACAATCACTCTCTAAGTAATTCATAATGATAGCCTGGTTTCTTCATCAGCAAAATCAGGATAATCATACCCATCTATAGGGTTATTGTGCAGTCAACTAAAATTATATACGTAAAGTCTTGGCACTGTCGACGACTGGGGCTGGATAATTCTTTCTTGGGGCAGGGGGTGCTGTCATCTGCATTGTAGGATTTTTAGCAACATCCCTGACATCTATTCACTAGATGCCAGCAGCACTTCCCCTCGCCCCAGCTGTGACAGTGAAAAAAGTCTCCGACGTTGTCAAATGTCCCTTGCGGAGCGAAATTGCTCTCCCCATTGAGATTCATGGCTCTAACATAATGTCTGGCACGTTGCACTTAAAATATTGTAGCTTTTATTGTTTAAGGGCAAGTGGGAATAGGTGCATGGGTCAAATAAACTACAATTGCAGAGTGGCTAATGGACTTGGAAATTAGGAGATTACTGATGACCTCAGCAAAGAGTGTTAGTTAAGAGTGGATGGAGGTGAGAAAGTGGAGAAGGCAAGGACTAGAAGATTGGTCTTACTCTTTTAAGAATCATTATATATAATACTACTTACAAATTTTAACGAGCCTTTGAATTTCTTACACAGTCTTTATAGTTTATTCTAGCATCTCTTAGAGTGAGTGAATAATCTACTTTAAAACACAGGGGGACAGAGCATGGTCAGGCCCCCATCAGCTATGACGTACATCCTGATTTGATGATATTCAGTCCTTCAGTGTGGAACCACAGTCTGCCTGGAACACCTATCTGTAGGTTGTCTCGTTTGGGCTCCTGGTTCCATACCAGGCTCCCATTGAGTTTGTTAAGAAGTTATTTATTAAGATTTACAGGGTTTTAATTGTTTGTTCTCTTTTCTCAAGGCTATCAAGTTAAGCAAAAAACAAACAAGAAAAACAGAAACATCTTAAGTTCTCAACCTCCTTCTAAAGACAATATTCACTACCACTTCTGGCTGCTACTGTGTGCCGGGCACTAGTACTGTACAGATATTACCTCGTTTTAATATTTATAGTAACCCTGAAGGTGGATATTGATATCTTCCTTTTATAGGTTAAAAAATTGAGACTCAGTAACTTTCTTAAGATTACACAATGTGTAGGGGGCTACGTTGAGCCTAGCTTTCATCTTGTGTCTCCCTAAATCCAAAACTTGTGACTTATTTAATGTGTCTATGCTGGGGGTGGAAGGTGATGTGGGCAGTCATTTCCACATAGAAATGGTTTTTCCTGAACCCAGAACAAAATGCCTTGATAGCAGGGTCACAAGACCAACTACTTATATCATAGATCTCCGTCTTTTGCAACCTCTAAACTTTCACTCAGTTACATCCTGATCTCTAGTCTCCAGAGCTTTTCTGGCTTGGGGCTTCAATGCAAACTTGCTATATTGCCTGAAAAAATTAATAATTATAGCTAACATTTTATAAGCATTATCTTATTTAAACCTCACAACAACCTGATGAAGGAAATAGGTGCTATTATTATCCCCATTTTTGCAGTTGAAGAAAGTAAGTAACAGAAAGGTTAAGTATCTT